TTTTTTAGGATATAAATCTTAAGTATTAAGTATTTTATTATTAATAATCTCTATTATCACTGAATAACAGAGGGTGTAGAACAAAGGAAACTAAACCTCTGTAGTGTTAGTGTGAGGCAGGGGGGCGGAGCTTAATGTCTGTTAGAGTCATCTGCAGGTCCGAGTCGTGTAGAAATGGGATCAGTTCAGTTTTAAGAATCTTTAAAGTTCTTCAGCCAGACTGACGGATATAAAGAGAAAATATTTCTCCTTTATGTCAGAAAGTTTGCTTTTAATTCCCAAAGTTTGTTGTCCCAACGTGATTATTTGCACAAGCGTGATCTATACTGTATAGAATATGATCTATTTTTTTCATCACGCCCTGTTAGACGATGCAGCTCGCTCATGGTGTTGACCTCACACATGCATGACGTGTGACTCCAACATTCATAGCTGCTCTGCTGAGTGTCTGCTGACTTGCTGCTTATTCGTTCACAAGCTGCAAAATGAGGGTCATCAGCAACACGATGAAGATCATCAGCCTTCATGTTTGACCCTGAAGGAGGTCACGCAGCCTGCAGAGGATCGGGGACACGGGGTGGAGCTGGCGCTAATCAACCCAGCGACCTGTTCTAACTCTAATCAGAACCTCTCCTCTAAGAAAGAGGCCGTGCAACACAGAGGAGACGTTTCCCTCCTCTGATTTATTACGCCGCTGCTTATGCTCTGTTTACTGATGTTATTACAGACATTTTATCATCTGATCTCTTAGAGGCAGCCATGCAGCACCGAGTCGCAGATCTTTAAACATGAAAAATATACTCTGACATCAGAGCAAAAGAATAATCCGAACTGCTGATCTAAGAAGCAGCAGAAATAAGAGCTGATATGACAGTAAACTTTTATTTCATTTACCTGCTCCTTAAACACTTTGTGCAACAAAACGGGAGAAGATTGTAGAAATCAGAGGAAACAGGAACAAGTCAAAAACCGTTAATATGATGGGAGAAGAAACAGAGGTGGAGCATAAACACCTTAGCGTTCACCTGGACAACAAACTGATTTGCTAGAAGTTTCCAGGGGGAAATGAGGGCTTACCATAGCTGTACATCCCCAAAAGAGGGCGTATAATTTGTCATTATTTTCGTAAAGACAATTATACGCCACGGGTGTCAAACTGGTTCCAGAAAGGACCGTGTGGCTGCAGGTTTACTTTCCAACCAAGCAATAGCACACCAGACCTCTTTCATATCATCAAGTCATCATGTTCAGATTGGACTCACTAGATGAGATGCTTGGAGTCTGGTGTGCTATTGCTTGGTTGGAAAGAAAACCTGGAGACACACGGCCCTTTCTGGAACCAGTTTGACACCCCTGTTATACGCCCATACACACTGCTAGCTAAAAGCTGGATCATCATTAGGGCAGAACTACTTTGTGAGAAGTCCAATTTGTGATTTTATATCGCCCTTTTTTACTAAGCCTTCACATCAATGGCCCCGTTTTTGGTAAGCCTTT